TATAGCCAATAGGCCATTTCTGGTTTTAATCCCCAAGATTTGCCTAGGATTCTTCTTATGGTCACAAATACGATTACTCCATTCATCACAATTACCACATAAACGTCTTAAAATAATATGGATAATAATATGATTAAATAATTGATATAATTTTATTAATCCCGAACGGGTACCAATGGTATCTTTCTCTATACGCCCTTAATGCGACAAACATAAATTATCTTCCAATCTGCTGGTTGTACATATACCGTTATACATGTATAGTTTATATACAAATAAATGAAGTTACAAAAGTAAAAAAAAGTTTGCCCGTTGAATAATAAATTGAACGTTGAAGTTAGGGGGACCAGAAATGACAGATCGATGTTGTTTATACCCCGTGTATTGTTTACATGCACAACTGAATCGATTATGTCAGCAGTGGGTTTTCTACTAATGCAGTGTACTCGATGGTCAAGCGATTCGAATTCAAACAGAAAGTTGGCCTACCGGTGTTGTTGCAATTATCAGGTTCGTTTGTATCGGCCGGCCCTCCGGGAACCCTGACTGTTTCAGATGTCAGAATCTTGGGTTTCTCTTTGATCCAAGGATCGCCGGTTCGCGGCCTGCCGGAGATAAATGAGCGACTAATGGGTCAGAAAGTAATGACCCGGCGGCCTTCTAACCAGAAACAGATTAGATACATCGTTCTGTGCTGGTTAACGATTGAGCATTTTGACGTCCAAACTACTGCCGTTGATGTATTTTTGATATTACCGTACAAAAATGAATTGCAGGAAATCGTCAAAGTATGTCCATTACAAAAAAAACCCGACTAATCTTAGAATTTCATTACCATCATATTATTTTTAGAATGTGATTGAAGTATTTTAAATCTAATTAACAGGTTTATTTATTTAAATAAATTTATGGTAAGTTATGTTTATTTATTGCATACATAATACAGTGGTTACCAAGGATGTCAGTCGATACTTGAAAACGGCTTTGGTTAAACTTGTTGGGTTATCCCATGATAAGATGTGAAAGGTTTGCTGATTCTCCTTAAGATAATATGGTTCCGTTTGGAGAAGTTTGCCTTTTGGGTGTTACCCATTGTTAAACTATACCAGGAGATTCCAGAAGTCCGTTGATGTGCGGCGACCACGGCTGGGGTGTGTGCTTGAAAATGATGGTCGATTCTGGAAAGACGCCTTTTCAGTATCTTTTATATTGGCAGAATTTGAACAAGTTTTAGTTTGTACTGGATACTTCTTCATCTTCACACATTGCAATTACTCGGTTTTTCTGATTTAATTCTTCCAATGATATTAAGTTAGTTATTACGTAGTAGGTAAAATAACAATTTTTAAACCTACGAATAAGTTCTATGAGTAAACAGGTATTATTTTTTCTAGTTGGTTAGGAGGAACGGGGGCTCCTTTGGCCGTTCATGTGACCTAGTAGTTCAAATACCTCCTAAAAATTGTTTTTGCCGGCTTTTTGAAAACATACAACTCTCGCCGCTTACGAACCAATATTATTGTAAAAATTGTTCATTCATACCTGAAATCTAGAACACTTAGAATGAAACTCAGCTCATACCTTTCAAGGCCACAGTTAAGAGTGCCCCAAAGGTCAATTTTAGTCACAGTACTTTTTCGATTTTAAATAAATTCCATGAAACCTTACAGAAAGATCTAGTTCAACCACTACCTCTTTTCCTTCCCTTAAAAGTCGTACCACCGTCAATTTCACAAAAAGAAATCCTGACCTTATAACCTCTAAAATCCTTCGATTTTTCCCTTTGAAAAAGCAATCCCCATTCTCATATACCTACATAATTTCACTAATTTCGTGGTCCGCTTGACCAATTAATACATTACAATTAATTAAGGTTTTTAGTTGAGATGAAAAAAAGTTAATGGCACGAGCGGGATTCGAACCCACGATCTTCGGCTAGATATGCCGCTGCTCTACCACTTGAGCTATCTTGACCTCGATCCACTCGGACATAACTTCCTATCTCAACTCCACATTATGAGTTTTCCCTCCTTTTTGCCATTTTTCAAATGTCGTGTAATCGAATTGGATTCTCGACGACTCATAAGGTGGGGTTGAGATAGGAAGTTGATGTCCGAGTGGATCGAGGTCACGATAGCTCAAGTGGTAGAGCAGCGGCTTATCTAGCCGAAAATCGTGGGTTCGAATCCCGCTCGTGCCATTAACTTTTTTTCATCTCAACTAAACACCTTAATTAATTGTACCTACATAATGTTGAACTAAGAAATGTTCACTTTTCCTAACAATGGAGTCTCCCATATAAAAAATGATCACAAATCTCCATAAACCTAACTATGATCCGATAAGCATTTTACTTACTCCTGGAAAAATCCTCGAAAAGCTCCTTCTGAAAAGAATCACTCCTAGAAGAACGAAACACTATCCCATCTCACCAGATTTGCTTCCTGAAAATCATTCTACAATCGCAATGCCACCGTGGTATAGATGCAACCTCTTTCTTGCATGTTTTTCTTGATGTTGCTCATGCCTTTGATAGGGTCTGACATCAGATCTTGATGTGGAAACATTTAGCACCTACTTCCTCATAATCTGATCATATCTAACTGACTGCTTTTTTCTGACTAGACACTTCAAAATACTTTCACGGCACCTAGACCAACGATCAATTCTGACGCTTCACAACAAAAGAGTAGAAAAGACGAAAATAAAATCCATTTAGACGTACCAACTCGAACTGTAGGGTCCAGCAAAACATTGCAACTATATTCGGATAAAGTTATTTCAAATCAGAATCCTTCGAAAAATAGTAAGCACACCCTCATATCTAGCAGATCAGACAATCCACAATTACCTTACAACTCCTTTTGTGAAAGATGGAATAAAATCTCAACACGTAAAATTACACAAATCCCATACATCACACCCCAATCCCCTAGTTTTAAGCTATCATCCAGTACTGTTTCCAATAATTTTCACACACTTGTACACGTGCTTAAAGATCAAAGTAAGAGGAACAATTATGTAAGCGCTGTAGTGACAGTATTTTACTGAGCCGAGAAAAATCTTATTGAAACTTCTAAAAGTTTATTCCAACTAATTTTGTACTTTGTTTCCTTAAGGTTACAATAAAACAACTAATGAAACTTATAGTATTTTTAATGTTTTTTATTGATATCAACAAATTAATAGTTGAAATAGCTTTTATGATATACAGGGGCTTGATGGGGAAAACGTTGTGAAAAATTGAAGTAATACGATAAGTGAAATATCTCGAATACAAATTATGAATCAAACTATGGACAAAAAACTTTTAGTCCAATTTGAAATGTACAATAAACTCCTCTTGACTTTCACGAACATCTGGCCTCCTCCAGACTTTAAAAAACTTTTAACATGGTTGTAATAAAAAGTTCATCAGGTATCGAATCAGATAAAAGAATATTCCGCATATATTCATACGTTTGTTGAAATAATATTACTGTTTTGAGCTAATGTATTTATTAGCATGAACGTCGAAGTATGTGTCGGTGTGTATGTGATGGAATATCGAGTACCCATGGATACACCAAGGTAGTCTACGTTAGTTTTTTAATATATTCTATTTGTAGCGTAATATGGGGAGTAGTAACTGACATAATAACAAAAAACCTGGTTACTATTCGATTGTGTGAATGTGTTTAATAGCGTGAGTTGAGAAGTGTATATGGACTCAGTCTGTGTGGAATATCGACTCGAACCAAATAGGTTAACTTGGAATAGTGAATGATTTATTGTCTTTTATGAAGAGGGGATATTTTGGTGAAGAAGCCTTACCGGCCACCGACTGTAGGTTTAGGTTTTATTTAATTTGAGCCTATTTGTACGGGTTAGGTCTCAGCAATATTCGGGATCTCTTTTCTCCAAACATATACAACTTACGATTGGCTAAGATTTACTAATTTGTTAAAATTCAATGAATAAATCTTACTCTGTCTCACACTTGGAATTTCCTGCTGGTTGCTTGTTGTGGTACAAATAGAAGTGTAAAGTTTTGATTTTAAGGAAATATGATCGTCAGTTCAATAGGTAGGAAAGCATTTTAAATCGTTTGTGAAGTATCTATTTTATCCTAAGCATATAATTTTGTCGGAATGTATATGTATAAGTCTAAGGCGGAGTATAAAAAAGGTGTTGTGACTTTGAGGGGTTAAACTTTATTTTCCTTAGATTGTTCCATTTTTCAGTTGTTGATAGTGGTTTTGTATCATACAAGCTTGTGTAGAAGAGCGGTTGCTGCTTTTCATAACAGTTTCAACTGCGTAAATGGTGGTAATTGCATTCTCATTTGTGGGCATGTCAGAAGTAAAGATTGTATAAGAGAGCAGCAAGTACAACAGCACCCCTGAAGCACACCTGCAGAGACTTCCCTTAACTAGAAGTCTCTGACCCATGGTTTACTGCAAGAATCATTTGTTGAGGGTAAAAAAAATTAATGAGAGACATATAAAAACAGTCCATTTGCGTACAGTTACTGTTCGAGACACGAGGTAATGTAAACTGTAACTCGGTGAAGTTCATGAGCTATGAAATAATGAGTTCGCAGCACTAATATAAAGTAAATATTTTATATTATATTCTTTGGAAGTACCTGTGAAGAACGTTGATGTATTTTCTCATCAATGTTCTTGTGAGTGATAAAAAAAAGTTGCATCGAGCATGAGTCGACCGTGCATGGAGACTACCTCTTTACAAAACTCACACACTCTCAACACGACACGCAAGGATGGAACAATTACACAGAAGACAAACACTTTGAGCCCTGAAGATGATCTCAATAAAAGATCGAAACGTTGGCACGATAAAGAAAATTTTTTCTGAAACCTACATCACACCCGAACGCATCTCACGATTTCTAAATAAATATCGATTAACGGTCACTAATCACCACACATCTTTACAAAACTTTACCATATGTTTATTTATTAAGTTAGGTGAAATTAAATTTTTTTATCTAAAATATGCTGGGTTAAATGTTTTATTTAAAAGTATGCAAAAGTGTGATTACATAAATGTTCTAGTAAATTTCCTGTTTTTGTACCAAGAACAAAATTAGAAGAAAAAGTGAAAATGAAATTTCTGGACATCTTGAGCTGGAAATAACGCCGCCACCGCTGTCTCCTTCGCCACTTCCGTCACTTCCTCCACTTCCGCCGCTTCCGCCGCTTCCGCCGCCACCGCTATCTTTGTTACCACCACCGCCAAACCAACTGCTAAACCAACCACTACCGCCTCCATCTTTTTTTTTGCCGGTGTTAGCGAACAGAAATTCATTCAAGTAATGCCAATGTAAAAGATATTGCATAGGCTGTTGTCCAGTTGTATCCACGGACATCGATGTGGCCACACCCCAGACGTAATCGCCGCAAAGCAAAGGACTACCGGAATCTCCTGCAAGTGTAGTCTCACCTCGAGTAACGCCCTCGAGGCAAACTTGACCAAAAGGTACCATATTATCGCGCGGAGGACCAGAAAAGTCTTGGCATCTTTGCTCTTCCCATGGCTGAGCTATGGTCGTTTTTAAAAATTGATTAGGACCACTAGTTACAATGGTATCGTTGACGATTTTATACGATGATGATCCCCACCCTATAAGTGTACAGCGCGCTCTCGAAGCCACCATTTCATCCCAACCGTTTTTAAACTCGTCCTTGTCGGTTGAGTAAAGTGCTATAAGTTTCACTCTGTCGTTGAGCTGTAAGGCTGTAACTAGTTCTGCAGTGGCATAGTCGTGCATCAACCCACCATACTTTCTCTTTCTTATATCTTTGGGATACTTCACAGTTTTAAGCTTTGCTACTTGGGCGTCATCTGCCAAGAGATATAATGTACCAAAATATACTCTTGATCTTCCTATATTGACTGTTTGTCTTTGGCCACCCTCCCATACAACTACACAATGACCTGCAGTAACAATTTTAGTCACTGTTACCAATGCGCATCCGCATACTTTTACCGTATTGCCATACAACGAGGCCACTAAGTGACCAATGAACGGAAACTCCCCGCTTCTAGCAGCTCTACCTCCCTTAATTTTGCCATACCCACTATAACCACTGCTAACATGAGTAACTGTAATTGTAAGAATGAGCAGAAAAATTTGGAAATAGAATTTTGACATGTTAATCGAACATTAATAACTGTGAATAATAAAATAACCATATGTTGAAGAAAATGTGAGGTCTGAAAACACCCGGGATATCTTGCGGTGATTCCTTTATTAAACTGAATTAAAAACGGAATGAAACCGCAGACAAGGGTGATAGGCCATTAAGGGAAAGAAGACAGTAGCACGCATATACTCTTTCTTCGTAGAAAAAGGAATCATAACAGCGAAGGTTTATCAGATGTGGGTCAGTACCCTGCTACAATGGCACCCCCTTTCAAAACCCAGGAGTCAAATGTTATCCGAGAACAGATTTCGTTTACCCTCCGAGGGTGACATGACGATTGAGAGGCATAATTAATCTAAAAAATGAAATCAGATCCTAATAAAATACATCATAATAAAAAGTTTGAGCTACATGTGTTTACTGATTGAAGAGATTTTATTTAGAGTATTAAATATTACTAAATCCATTATATTTAGCGGTCTGAACCACCAGCTATCATGACTTCGATCCACTCGGTGTAAAATATAAGCATGTAAAGAAAACTCCTGCATATTCCAGATTTTTTTAATACAAAATAATTGTGCTCTTAGAAGACGGCAATGAAACGTTTTTGTGCAAGAAAAATTAAAAAGTATTTTAAATAAATTCTAAAAATAAATTCTTTTTCTTTTAATTTTGAGAAATGCGAGAAATTGCTATGAAAATCACTTTTACTTTCTATGTAATAATTTTCAATTTCTAATTAACGTCTTTTTCCTTTAATTCGACTGTTTTTACCTTCAACGGTTTGCAATTTAAGCAAAATCCTTTCAAAGCATTAAACAAAAAATTAGACGTCATAGGGTATATTTTTAATGAGGTTAATTAATGAGTTTTTAAAAATATTTATTCACGTGAAGAACAAATGCACTTTTCAGTTTTTGTAGGTTCTGCCTTTACTCTTTCGAAGAATTTGTAGTGTGGGGGGAACCTGAACTCAACGTCCTTAACTATTTCAATTAATTAATCTTTATGTAAGGTATTGGTTGAAATAAAAAAAAGCTAGTGTCAAGAGCGGGATTCGAACCCAAGACTTTCGGCTAGAATCGCCGCTACTCTACCACTTGAACTATCGTGACTTCGAGCCGCTCGGACACCAACTTCCCATCTCAACCCACCTTTCGAATTTTCCCTCCTTTTTGCCATTTTCCAAATTTCGATTTTTCGGCAACAAATGGAATGGCCACGGAGAGCTTTAGTGAAAGTATACTTTGTTTTACTTATTAAATTATATTTCGTGGCCCGATTGGCCAAATAACTTCTTCTTCTGAGTGTGCACTCTCAACACGACACTCAATAATGACACGTCTACACAAAAAACAAACACTTTGAGCCCTGAAGATGATCTCAATAAAGATCGAAACGTTGGCACGATAAAGAAAATGTTTTTCTAAAACCTACGTCACACCAGACCTCATCTCAAGTTCTCCAAATAATCATCAATAACGACTTCGAAATAACAAAGGAGGAAGCCTTGACTCACCTTGATAAAGGAGAGCAAATTTTACTACTTGAAAATCGTTCTGCACAGCATCGGAGACGTCAGGAACGTGTTCCTCCCGCCATGATCATAAGAACAAGGCGGAAGATAATCCGCTCCCGCCCCGCTTATCGGTACTGGAGATTAGAGGCGTGACAATACATATGTAATAATAATATGTGTCATGGCAAGTTTAAAGGAGAAAGGCATGCATAATTTATAGAATTCACTTTTGTCGGTCACACTATCTTATGTAGTGGAATAATGGCGTAAAACCTACTTATATTTGGAATTAAGGAAAGCACAGCCGATCGAGGTTCTTCAAATTCATGGGATCGGACGCTCAGATGCAAATTTGCATTGCTGATTCCAAAGTAATTAAGAATGAGAAAGAATGGCGGGACATTGCAAAATTTTCCATTGCTGATATTGTTACACCTGACAGGATCATTGTCACAGTAAAGCTAGTTGCCAATTGTTCTTGGAAAATGTGTTTAAAAGCGGTCGGGATGAGATTGTAAACTGCTTGACCGTGAGGTGGGCAGCTAAATTTTTTAGAGTCGTGAATAAACCTAGAAACGAGTGATGCAAGTAAATATTTTAATTATTCAGATATCGTTAGATGCGGTCGGGTGATGTAGGTTTCAGAAAAACATTTTCTTTATGTTCATCTCTCGATATCTGAATAACTATCGATTAACGGTCACTAATCTCTACACATTAAATACTTTAAAATGTTCTGGGTTTCACGTACGATGAGGATCAACGTGAAAAGACGGCTAGACCTCCTTGTGAAAATATGGCGTGTAGACTAGTTCGCGTCGCGGCTTTTACTATAGACAAGGCTTGGTGATAACCGGGGAGGATTAAGTCGAGGGTTTGTTCTCATCTTTATTTGTACAAGCCTTTGATCTCACTCTCTTTTACATTGACGTTATTTGAACAAGCTTATAAAAGAAAGGATTCTTTCGTCTCAAAAATAAGTCAAAAAATTGCGCTTCCTACGTTTCTCGTCATATTATACTTCGCATAAAAATCATCGAAAACATTGTGTTATAACATATGATTAAATTTCTGTATGCAAACGTATATTTTCCCTGGAGGATAATTTTTTAACGTTAGTTTTAGTTCAAATAATACACGAACAAACAAACTCTCCGACAACTATTGGAAAATTACATAGACTAAATAAGTTCTTCGGTGGTCGGTCTTTCAGTTGAAGAACCCAATTCTGTTTTTTTGAACCTTGATCTAAAGGGTTCACGGAGTTTGTCTGGAACAATACATTCCATTAGCTGCTTTTTTTTATTTTTAACGGGGGTATTTCAACTATGAGGTTATTTGAACCCTAGGGGTGCCGGTGTTTTTGGAAAAAGCCCATTTGTAAGTATGTTGGGATCGAATGCAGGGCCGCTGGATTCGAACCCGGGACCTTTACCTTAGAGTGATGAACGCCGTGTCAACGCCTAAACCGTTGCGGCCACAAATGCCCCTGCATTACCTTTATATTCAAGGAAAGTGTTAATCATGTCTCCAGCATATAAAGTAGCTGCTGTAACCGTCAATAGTTTTCAGGTGAGAGGAAATCAAGAATCAAATTTTACGGAAAATTATGGGCTAACGCTTGCAAAATGGTACATGTTCCTATGTTTCTGCTTTTTCATGACACGGTCGGCCAAATTCTGTCTCAGCTTTTCTCATTTTTATGAGTAAATAAACGGAAATTGGTCAAATAGAAGCCTATTACATTTGTTAATTCTTGCCTAGGTGGCCTAGTGAGAGGGGGAGATCAATTTTCGTTATAATCGTGAGATGTTAAAGAACTTCTTCGACAGTTTTGCAACCGGTGATTTTATTCAGAGTGCTGTCATTTTGTTTTTATTTTGGGCGTGCCTAAAGGTGTAAGAACATCAATAACTCTCATGCCCTGGTTTCATAATTACCTGATTTCCCAGGAGGTGAAGTTATATAATGATTAACTTAGCTTTAAAATGAAAGTGGTGGAATCTAAAGAATAGCTTGATGCACCTTTTAGTAATTTTAAAGTTTGGTTGTCTCCTTCTGTGGAATGGTCAAGATAAAAAATAACTTTTAGAAATATTTCTTGTACAGACACTACTATTGCATAGACCTCGGTTCACAAAATCGACGGCCATCATTGGGCCTGTGACTACTGCCATTCATCGTTCAATTTTGGATCCGTCTGTTTACCACAATGGGGCCCCTCTCTATTAATTTCAGGTTTTTTTTCAGGTTCAGGTATTTAAATATTATATATTGTTTACGGTGACGAAAGAAGATTAACTCTCACCCTCTTGTAACATTTTCTTAGTATGACTCTATATCTCGAATGTGACACATTGTTATTCAGTCATCGGTTTTCTCTCTTTTCTTTTTCATCTCCTTTTGCGATACTGATACAAAACCTCTTATTCTCTCCAATCAAAACGGCTGGACATCTCATTTGCAAGCTAAGACTCATACATATACAGGGTTACTATTAAAAATGGAACCAAAATTTTCTAATTATCTACGGTCCCAATCTCAACTGTTTCGGAGTTATTCCATTTTTTCAGATTTTTAAGATTTCACGACCTTGCTTCAAATAAACATATACTAATAAATAAAATGATAACTACAAAACTAAAAGGTTTTGGACAAATCACATTAAATTTCTAATAAGATGTGACCAATACTAAACTTGCAAACGTTGGTGAAATAAGCGTTTTAATAGTCGGAACTTTAAAAAATATTTTTTTTTTTCAAAGTGAAAAACTTAGTATGGTGATTCTGAACTACTATTTCCAAATCTAGCGACCAGTAAATTTCAGAAAACGTACTTCATTTAACATACGTTTTTCGTGGTGTAATTGCTTTTTAAATAACTTAAATTACTTCGGCACTTTCAACACGACACACAAGAATGACACATCTACACGGAAAACAAACACTGTAAGCCCTGAAGATGATCTCAAGATAGATCGAAACGTTGGAACGATAAAGAAAATGTTTTTGTAAAACCTACGTCATACCAGACCGCACCTCACGATCTCCAAATAATTTTTTTTATTTCAAAGATGAAGAAATTGATGAAGCAAAGGAGAAAACCGTGGATTGGCAAGGTGGAAAGATTAATAATAATAAAAAATAAAAAAACTTACGGAAATTTTGAATTAATTTATTAAACTTTTTTAATTTGGGTTCGAAATTATCTCCAACCTCCGCGCGCAAAAACGAGCCCGTAACGAGCACCCGAACACCCTGTATATATANTACATATATATGTGTGTGTGTGTATTTCATATTGAATATTAATATTAATACATAATAGTTAATATTATTCCGAACATATCTTGTATTTCATTTACTGTATAGTGATATATTTTTTACGTGTTAGTAGTAAAATGGACAGTGCATATGGAATACTAAATTAATAAAAAATAAACACTTGTAATTCTGTTTAAATATAAAATCATCTGTTTACGGTATGATACATAACTTTCAATAACCATGCCTAAATTATATTTCAAAATTTTTGTGTTTATTCTTGCAATTACACTTCCATCCAATATTAACAGTGCAGAATATGGGAAAATTAAAGGAGGAAGAGCTGCTAAAGCTGGAGAATTTCCGTTTATCGGTCATATAACATTCCAGAATGAAGGAATAAAAGTGAACGTATGTGGATGCTCGTTAGTAACCACGTCAAAAGTTGTTACTGCTGGTCATTGTGTAATGAAATGGGTCAACGGCCATAGAGAAATGCTCAACATTAAAACAGGAATGGTATATTTTGGTACGCTATATCTCATGTCGGATGATGGTCAACAATCAGCCGTTGAGTCGGTGAAGTATCCCAAGGAAATAAGAAAGAAAAAATTAGGTGGTGTTATGCACGATTATGCCACCGCCACTCTTGTTACGCCTTTAAAAATTACCGACACAGTACAGCTGATGAAAGTTTATTCCACAGACAAGACAGAGTTTAAACACGGTTGGGATGAGATGGTGGCATCGGAGGCTCCGTGCGTAATTATTGGGTGGGGAGCAACCGACTTCAAAATCATCAATAAAACGACGTTAGTATCCTCGGGTGTCAATAAATTCTTGAAAACGACTGTGGTTCATACGTGGGATGAGGAGAGATGTGCAAGGTTTGCAGGCCCGCCGCAAGATAACATGTTGGAATTTGGAGAAATTTGCCTTTTAGGTGTTACTCACGGCGAAACTTCACTTCCAGGAGATTCCGGAGGTCCGTTGATGTGCGGTGACTACGTCTGGGCTGTGTGTTCGTCAATGTTCGTTGATGCCAGTGGAACAAAACCATTTCATTATCTTTTACATTGGCATTATTTGAACGAATATCTGTACCCAATGGGTTCTTCGGGCTCAACAATTCGTCCAGAAATTTCTATTCCCCTTTTTTTCATAACTTTATTCTTGAGATAAAAATTGTCAGTACGTGCAAGTACATAAAATAACAAAGCGAATCTACTAAATCACCTAAATAAACTATTACAACTATTTCTCAATTTAATGCGTTAACACATGTTATTATTTTGAAAACAGTTAAGGAGGAACTACATTTTCCTCAGCTGATTGCCTTGTATTTAATATGTAGAATTGATACGGAGTGTAAAAAATGTAGATCCTGTTTTCTAATATTAGTTTGCATGAAATATTTGATTTCTTGGCGTAAATTTTCCTCATCTTGATGTCAATGAACAAATGTATACCCACGATTAACTATCAGCTCGTTTAAAAGTTATTCCTAATATGTTTAGTCCTAATTACATTTTAAAGTAAAGGGGCTAAGTCGATAAAAAGGATAAATTAATCAAACATCAAATGAAACAGGGAGAAGTAAGATAAACAGAAAAACAACAGACGAATTGATAAGATGAATATGAATTATCTTCAATGAATGGATTTAATGAATTTGGCCTAACAATAGGAAGTCTTAATCTGACTCAGTAAGCCTTTTTACTTAAAGTTACTTAGTAACTTTTTAGGAGGTCATGGTTTTACAGTTATGAACCTTTTTGACAACATAGCGTACTAAAATTATGAACTACCACATTTATTTATTTTACGGTTTTCCAATTAAAAGTGTATGGAATAAATATATGAATGTTTGGTTGAGATAAAAAGTATAATTAATTGAAATACGACAATTATGACCGCTAAACATATAAGGAAAAGTATAAAGGTAAGAGCTTTACATAAATTTAGAAATATCTATAATAAAAAATAATAAACAAAAGTTCAGTCGTGTGTGAGGATTCCACGTCAGGCGTTTGTCGATGTACAGTCCGAGGTATTGCACCTTGTCCCCGCAGTTGGGAGAGGAATAGTATTTAAGAAAACAGGGGGTGGGATCTTTTTACGGAGAATGAAGATAATGTATATAGTGCACGGGTACTCGCAGTATCATTTCTTGTACTATCAACAGCCAGCGTGTCAGCGAGTTACATGATTCAAGCAATTCCTGCTGCCTTTGTAATCAGTACTTTACGTTAAACATATAAATACATTCATACAACTTATACAGATAAAATTTGAGGACTCGCTGTATTTATTGTTTATATTACTCAGAAAATCAACAACTACAACTCAACACTAACACCATCCACTATTTTTTTTTTTACTGTGGCTTCCGACATCTGGGTCGTTTCAGCCCCAAACTAAGTCAAGTCAATATTCTATTTACACTTCTATTTACAAACACTACATTCATACAGATAAATACATTCATACACATAAATACATCCATACAATACACTCATTCCGTTTGGTCGGTGGAGTACTTGATATTCCTCCACCGACCTATACTCGAACTAAACTAGATTGGGGTCGATGGAGTACTTTTATAAATATTCCGCCATCGACCCCGAACACATACTCATACGCTCTCATCGTTCGAGGGGCGATGATGATGTTATATTTCACCCTCACCCCTCGCCATTCACGCTAATAAATACATGCACTCAGACAAACATATAGACACACAACACATGAGACATACTATATACAAT